CTTTACACCTGCTGCCGCCGTTTACCTAGCAGTAAGTAGGTACCCGAGTGTTACTCGACTGTTGTGAGTGTCATCCCACAGAGCTGAGGTAAGATAACAGATCTTAACCTGTAAAACCGATCAGTAGAAAAAAAATAAATTCACCACTCACACTGTCCTCAGCCTGACACAGAGGTATGTATTTAAATATATTGCCATTCACATTCCTCACCCCTACGTCTCTCTTTTTTCCTTTATCGCTTTTACAGAATTTCTGTTGTCCCCGCTCTAGAATGATGGGATATATCTATAAAAATTCTATACCTCCTGTGTTTGGGATAGGTTATCTTTAGAAATGGTTATTCCCGAGTGAGAGTAACTCCAGCTCTGCTGGAACGAAATGTTTGAAACTGTGGTAGCTGTTGAAGCTTTAATAGAATACTTGACGATATCCTCATTGCACTACTGACGTCTCCCAGCTCAGGCTGACACTTTCCATACTTATGACTAAATCACATATCCTGGAAGCCTTTTGAATATTTTAGTAACCCAGGATGCCGAACCTCAGGTCGGCATCCTGGTATATTTCAAGGTAAATAACAATTACCAGACAGTGAATATTGTTCATGTTTCACAAAAAAACTACACATAGGAGAGGAACCTTAGGACGACCTTTCCGTCTATCTTGGACCATTTTCAAATCACAAGTGATTTGTGATTTGACAATGGTCCTGGACGGACCGAAGCGTCATCCTGAGGTTCCTTCTTAGTTGCGGGTTTTTGATGAATTGTTCCAGCCATGGAATGCGACTTTTATTCTGTATTATACATCACTTTGTTCTACGGTGCTCCGAGAGAACACTGGGAGTGACATAGTTCTTTCTAACATTCTTGATATTGATGAGGATCAAACCTGATTACTTCTGATTCCCCGGGTGCTGTATGACCTTAATAAAAGGACATATAATAACGATAATTCTTTCTTTGGTGTATTTTGGCAGGTGGTGCCGGGAAGTGGGCGTGGCTGGCAGCTGTTTCGGGTTGAGGGTCGGCGCCGGGGCAGCCCTGGAGGTGACCTGAGGTCTGTGACTCCTCTAGACTACGAGAACCCCAGCCACAGACGAGGGTTCCGCTTCAGGGTGCAGGTCACAGACATGGTGCGTCTTAATTGATTATTGTCTTCATATAATGCCATTGAGCTCTGGTAGGTGATGTGTTTTGCAGTTTAATTACACTGAGACACGCGTATCTCTCAATGGAAATATACTAAGATACATATTGGACATCTCTCAGACAGTGTGGGGTGTACCCACCTCTACGTGTGTGAGTGTGTTGTTTGCGCTTTGTGTGGTGTTGTGTGTGTGTTCTGGTTGATTGATGTAGTTTCATTTCTGCAATTAATGCAGACTAACCCTTTTTCAGTTTATGGCCTGGTATCTGTTATTGTGGTTCACAGTGTCCTGTGGCTAGTTTTCGTAGTGTCCACATGTGTGTCCTGGCTGTTTCCTCGTAGGTCACATGTGTGTCCTGACTTTTCATAGTCACATGGCGTGTCTTGGGACTGTTTCGTAGGCACATGATTTCCTGGAGCTTTTTACATAGGTCACATGGTGTATCATAGGGGCTAGTTTCCTGAGTCACATGAGTGTCCTGGGGCTGTTTTTCATAGTCATATGGTGTGGATTTGGGCGTTTGTGGGTCACATGTGTTCGGTGCAGTATTCAGTAGGTCACATGGTTGTCTTGGGGCTGTTTCTCAGTTTCCCAGATGGTGTGTCTTAGCTGTTTTCGTAGTCACATGTGTCGCCTAGGCTTGTTTCGGTGAGTCCACTATGGCCGTTCATGTGCTGTTTCGAACGTACATTATGATACCTGTAGGCTGTTTTCATAACGTTCACATGTGTGTCTTGGCACTGTTTCGAAGTTCACATGGAGTTCTCTGGGTTGTAATTCATAGGTCCCACATGGTGTGTCCTTGTGGGTCTGTTTTCGTAGGTCATGATGTGTCCTGGAGCTGTTTTCATAGGTGTCACATGTGTGTGTCTGGTGCTTGCTTATCGTAGCTCATGTGTGTCCTGAGGCAATTTTCGTAGGTCACATGGTGTGTCTTGGGGCTGTTTTCGTAGGTCACATGGTGTGTCCTGGGGCTGTTTTCATAGGTCACATGGTGTGTCTTGGGGCTGTTTTCGTAGGTCACATGGTGTGTCCTGGAGCTGTTTTCATAGGTCACATGGTGTGTCTTGGGGCTGTTTTCGTAGGTCACATGATGTGTCTGTGGCAGTTTTCGTAGGTCTCATGGTGTCCTGTGGCAGTTTTCGTAGGTCACATTGGTGTGTCCTGTGCAGTTTTCGTAGTCACAGGGTTGTCCTGTGGCAGTTTTCGTAGGTCACATGGTGTGTCCTGAGGCTGTTTTCGTAGGTCACATGGTGTGTCCTGTGGCAGTTTTCGTAGGTCACATGGTGTGTCCTGTGGCAGTTTTCGTAGGTCACATGTGTGTCCTGTGGCAGTTTTCGTAGGTCACATGGTGTGTCCTGTGGCATTTTCGTAGGTCACATGGTGTGTCCGGGTGGCAGTTTTCGTAGGTCAATGGTGTGTCCGGGTGGCGTTTTCGTAGGTCACATGGTGTGTCCTGTGGCAGTTTTCGTAGGTCACATGGTGTGTCCTGTGGGCAATTTTCGTAGGTCACATGGTGTGTCCTGTGGCATTTTCGTAGGTCACATGGTGTGTCCTTTGTGGCAGTTTTCAGTAGGTCACATGGTGTGTCTGTAGCAGTTTTTCGTAGGTCACATGGTGTGTACTGTGCAGTTTTCGTAGGTCACATGGTGTGTCTGTGGCAGTTTTCGTAGGTCACATGGTGTGTCCTGGGCAGTTTTCGTAGGTCACATGGTGTGCCCTTTGTGCAGTTTTCGTAGGTCACATGGTGTGTCCTGGGGCTGTTTTCGTAGGTCACATGGTGTGTCTTGGGGCTGTTTTCGTAGGTCACATGGTGTGTCCTGAGGCTGTTTTCGTAGGTCACATGGTGTGTCCTGTGGCAGTTTTCGTAGGTCACATGGTGTGTCCTGGGCAATTTTCATACGTCACATGGTGTGTCCTGTGGCAGTTTTCGTAGGTCACATGGTGTGTGCTGTGGCAGTTTTCGTAGGTCATATGGTGTGTCCTGTGGCAGTTTTCGTAGGTCACATGGTGTGTCCTGGGGCTGTTTTCGTAGGTCACATGGTGTGTCCTGTGGCAGTTTTCATAGGTCACATGGTGTCCTGTGGCAGTTTTCGTAGGTCACATGGTGTGTCCTGGGCAGTTTTTCGTAGGTCACATGGTGTGTCCTGTGGCAGTTTTCGTAGGTCACATGGTGTGTCCTGTGGCAGTTTTCGTAGGTCACATGGTGTGTCCTGTGGCAGTTTTCGTAGGTCACATGGTGTGTCCTGAGGCTGTTTTCGTAGGTCACATGGTTTGTCCTGTGGCAGTTTTCGTAGGTCACATGGTGTGTCCTGTGGCAGTTTTCGTAGGTCACATGGTGTGTCCTGTGGCAGTTTTCGTAGGTCACATGGTGTGTCCTGTGGCAGTTTTCGTAGGTCACATGGTGTGTCCTGTGGCAGTTTTCGTAGGTCATATGGTGTGTCCTGTGGCAGTTTTCGTAGGTCACATGGTGTGTCCTGTGGCAATTTTCGTAGGTCACATGGTGTGTCCTGTGGCATTTTCGTAGGTCACATGGTGTGTCCTGTGGCAGTTTTCGTAGGTCACATGGTGTGTCCTGTGGCAGTTTTCGTAGGTCACATGGTGTGTCCTGTGGCAGTTTTCGTAGGTCACATGGTGTGTCCTGTGGCAGTTTTCGTAGGTCACATGGTGTGTCCTGTGGCAGTTTTCGTAGGTCACATGGTGTGTCCTGTGGCAGTTTTCGTAGGTCACATGGTGTGTCCTGTGGCAGTTTTCGTAGGTCACATGGTGTGTCCTGTGGCAGTTTTCGTAGGTCACATGGTGTGTCCTGTGGCAGTTTTCGTAGGTCACATGGTGTGTCCTGTGGCAGTTTTCGTAGGTCACATGGTGTGTCCTGTGGCAGTTTTCGTAGGTCACATGGTGTGTCCTGTGGCAGTTTTCGTAGGTCACATGGTGTGTCCTGTGGCAGTTTTCGTAGGTCACATGGTGTGTCCAGTGGCAGTTTTTCGTAGGTCACATGGTGTGTCCTGTGGCTGTTTTCGTAGGTCACATGGTTTGTCCTGTGGCAGTTTTCGTAGGTCACATGGTGTGTCCTGTGGCAGTTTTCGTAGGTCACATGATGTGTCCTGGGGTCAGTTTTCGTAGGTCACATGGTGTGTCCTGTGGCAGTTTTCGTAGGTCACATGGTGTGTCCTGTGGCAGTTTTCGTAGGTCACATGGTGTGTCCTGTGGCAGTTTTCGTAGGTCACATGGTGTGTCCTGTGGCAGTTTTCGTAGGTCACATGGTGTGTCCTGGTGCTGTTACGCTGCCTGCAGATTTACGAACATTTCAACCTCGTGACTTGCGTGGACTTGGTACAATATTTATTTACATCATCAAATAGGAAATGTATAATGTCATTTGTCAGAGCTCGCAGACGCAATTAATATTCAAAGAGAATATACGTAAAAAAAAATCCAACGCAAATATTTTCCGTATTATTCAATTTTGTAATATCGGAGTTGGGAGGGAATACTTTTTTTTATCGCTAGTCTCATTTACATAGAAGGAGCTTGTTTTAAAATATTTATTTATGAGTTATTGACATTGATTAATATTTTAATATTAATTTGATGCCCAAAATTTACATTAATTTTTTTTTTACCCCTTTCAATGTTAATTACAAAGTTATATCGACTATTGTATATATTTTTTTCTGTGCATCGGTGAATTATTGAGTTTAAATTTTGTTAGTCCAGAGAAATGGTAAACACGTCTCTCTGTGTAGCACATCTGTCTACACACACACACACGCACACCCACACATACACACCACACACACACACACACACACACAGACACCCACACATACACACCCACACACACACACACACACACACACACACACACACACACACACACACACACCTGTCTTGACCCCTCCCACATACGCCTATCTTGACCCCCACACACAAATGCCTATCTTGACCCACACACACACACACACACGCACACCCACACATACCACCCCACACACACACACACACACACACACACACACACACACACACACACACCTGTCTTGACCCCTCCCACATACGCCTATCTTGACCCCCACACACAAATGCTTATCTTGACCCACACACACACACACGCACACCCACACATACACACCCACACACACACACACACACACACACACACACACACACACACCTGTCTTGACCCCCCACATACGCATCTGACCCCCACACACAATACCTATCTTGACCACACACACACACACACACACCTGTCGTTTACCCCTCCACACATACACATGTCCTTGATCTACCCCCCACACACACTTGTCTTGACCCCTGCCACACACACACACCATCTGACCCACACACACACCTGTCTAGACCCCCACACACACCTGTCTTGACCCACACACACACACACTGTCTTGACCCCTGCACACACACACCCGTCTTGATCCCCACACACACACACCTGTCTTGACCCACACACACACACCTGTCTTGGACCCGCTACACACGCCTGTCTTGACCCACACACCACCTGTCTTGACCCCCCACACACACACCTGTCTTGACCCACACACAACACACCAGTCTTGACCCTCATACACACCTGTCTTGACCACACACACACACACCTACATTGACCCCCCCCACACACACACCTGTCTTGACCCACACACACACACATCTGTCTTGACCCACACACACACACCTGTCTTACACCACACACACACCTATCTTGACCCCCCACACACACACACCTGTCTTGACCCACACACACACCTGTCTTGACCCCCCACACACACACCTGTCTTGACCCACACACACACCTGTCTTGACCCCTGCCACACACACACCTATCTTGACCCACACACACACCTGTCCTTGACCCCTGCCACACACACCTTCTTGACCCACACACACACACACACCTGTCTTGACCCCGCCACACACACACCTTCTTGACCCCCCACACACACAACCTGTCTTGACCCCCCACA